CTTGCATTATACAGAAGTTTCTCGGAATAATCATCTCACGGCCATTTTTTTCATAAGGAGTAAATTTGTATCGGTGAGTCTCGTGCTGCGTACTTCAGATATTTCCAGTTTCTCTAATTTAAGCATCATATCCTTAATCTTAACTTTATACACAAACATAAACATATCTGCTTTTCCCAATCTCCAACCAAATAAAGAGTCACATGTAAGTAAGAAGGTACGCCACGTGACGAACAACTGCTCCAGGTTGGATCCATTCGCACTTATAACTCATAAAAGCTTTTGACCTAAACTGACTTTTATATAGACCTTACTGGTCAAAAAGTCCAAACATCCCATGTGGCCAAACCCATTGTCGAACATGGACAAGTTAATTGTTCGACCAAAAAAAAAGTGCAAGTTAATATTATCATTTAATTGTCGGAATTGTCGGTGATCGACAAATTCTACACTACACATCGTTACAAATGCAAATTCTTGCGTTTACATTGTTTCGTACTAATGCTCTATTTAGACCATCAAGCATAAGTACAAAGATTATTGGAATCATTTCCATTATAAATATTAAATAAATATGTAACTTCTCTTTAATCGTAGTGTCAAAAGCATTTACAACCAATAGCAAATAGTATTATATCAAGTATTCATCTTTTTTTTGTTTACTCTACACATTCTATAATCAACTAATAACCATCAAAATAGAAGGCAATGTATTGAGATCAAACAAGTAATGAGATAGAAAAACCTTACGGTTTCCGTCGTGTTTGGCCGAGCTGATTGAGTTTGACGAGCAGCTCGGCATAGAGGATTTCGTTCCAAGAATCAGGAACTCCAGGGAGGCACCAATGGCTGCAGTCTTGGTACAGCAATGGCGATCTTTTTTCTTTTTCTGATAAGCTGTGTTTCCGGTATACTGACGGATGCCCGTCCTTTCTGTAATCCGTTAATCTCGTGATGTTTAGATAAGTGACGGGCGTTTTCATACCCCTTAGCACTTTCTCAAGCACCTTCATTTTAGCCGGGTATGGGGTTAGGTACGTCTCGTTCTTGATTGGTTCTGTTTCGCTATCGCATGCTCCTCCCGAGTTCCATTGCCCACCACTGCAAAACAATACCAGAAGTGTCAAGACTAAGATTTTGATTGTCTCAAACATCATATTTTTCGTTTGCTTTTTTGCGTTTGCACTTCAGATTAACGTAAGAATGTTGTTAAAAATGCGAAAGATTGTGCGTTCATTTGGAGAAAATGCGAGCTAAACATCAACGCAAACGCAAACAAATAATTGAAACCTTAGATTCAGTTCAAAGATGAGTAGATTCAATTCAAAGACGGTCTCCATGTACCTGAAATGGGAGGCGGAATAACCTCGAAAGAAAACAAGTGACTTCTCCGGATTCACATTCTTCTCAACCCATCGACCCCATGTGGTCAAAGCTTTACGGAAAGCTTCAAGTACAGCGAGTTCGTGATAAACATTGCTTCCTTCTTGATAATAGTCCTCCCTATGAAACCAACACTAAAATCAGTTCTAATTACAATACAAAAACAGAGCAGCTTCCTACTAGATTGAGAGAAATTTTACCCTTTGGATGTTTTCTCATGAGTCCACCAATGTCCGGTATTAAAGACAATAATATCCGCTCCTTTGTACTGCTCGGACGACTTCCCGACCAAATCCAACCGTAGAGTCTCCTTCTTCGTTCCCTTGTTATCAACAATTTCCGTTTCTTGGACCAAAAACGGTGAAACAAAGAACTCCACCGTGCAATTGTAATCCTACCAAATCGAAAAACCCGAAATGTAAACTATGAACAAGATTCAAAAACCAATTTAATCAATGTAAAATAAAATCAAGAAGCCTTACTTGGAAGACAAAGGAGTACTCAGCCTCGCCACGAAAATGATGTCTTCCCCTAGCCTCATATACTTTACTCTCATCTTTCACTGAACCTTTAAGAAAACAAACCAGAGATTCCCACATGTTCCTATTCAGAGAATCTCCCACAAACACTAACCTTCTTCCTCTAAGCATCTCCAACAAAATAGGTCCATTTAACCTTCAAATTTACCATACATAAATAAATCAATAATTATTACTGGATACAGATTCAGAGCCACAAATCTATAACATTGAACTAACGTACCTTGGTAAACTACATTTCTTAGGTTTCCACTTCAATTTCTGAAACTCTTTGTCGGGTCTTCCGTTTGAAATACAATTGAATTGTTCATCGATTAGCTTACACGAACCGGGTTTGTAAAGCGGATACGAATCATCCTTGATCCATCCACCGTCGAAAAACTCGCAATTTTTCAGTGATTCACTCCATTTCTCGATCTCTTGTTTCACTAACCATCCCGAATCTCTGTTCCCAGATTGTTTCACCGGTTTAGAAGCAGTTGATGAATTGGAATTGGCAGTCAGATCCACCGACACGGGTGCTTTAGACGGTGCAGGAGATGCTGTCTGGTTTCGAACAGCATCGGTGGTGGTTTGTGTCAGATTACTCAAACCTGTCGGCGATTTATCTGGAAGCAGAGGATGAGATGTGTTGGTTCTGTTTACGATCGGAGATTCAAAGGTAGCGTTTTTAGCAACCGGAGTGAGATTTTCCGGCGCCGGTGCTTGCAAAGTTCCGTTTTTGACGATCTCGGAGCCGGAATTCGAATTGAGAGACGGAGAAGTTGCGTTTACAGAGACAGGTTCTGTGAAATTCGACGTGGCGTCGCTAGATCTATTGGTGGGTTTGGTTGAAGTGACATTGGGAAGAATATAAGAGAAAATTGAAGAGAACTGAGATCCAGAAGTGTTGTCTGAAGCAGCAGGAGTGGTTGAGA